TAGGCAAAAGAGAATATCTATGCGTGAATTGGAATTCAAATGTGATTTGTATAAAGATTCGAGTCAAAAACTTATTTTCTTGATTTGAGCGCTTGCAGGTTTAAGAATTTATGAATGTAAATGAAGTTCTGTAATGTGCTTGAAATATATCTCCTCTTCTTCCTCCCCCCCCCCCTCTTATGTAGAATGCTTGAATATCGAACACTGCGATTGAATAAAACAACCGGAGAAGGAATTTTCCCATTCGTGTTCACAAAGTGGGAAACAATGGAGCAAGAGGGCCCCTTAGCTACACTACTCTAATTTGGCCTATAGTTGTCTTAGTGCTTCAATCTTTGAACCATAAAACAGTCGTTTCATGTATATATAAATCTTTCAAACACATGATATTGTGTAGAACTAGTCGAATGACTTGTCTTTGGAATGGTATTGAAAACAATCTCACCAGCCTAGATATTCTCTTCCAACAAGCTAAAGTCTGTGTGCATGTGGGAAGATTAGAATAAGGCAGAGTCTATATCCTTTAGCAGGGTCCTTGACAAAGGCAATTTGTCACAACTGCCCTCCCAAGCAAGAGGACCATAGATTTGGAAAAGGACCACAAATTCAGGTCCAGGAAAGAAAAGCTCATTGTAGCGTGGGCGAAAATGACAAGACATGGATCTTCACCCAACTTTATCAACCAAAAACCAACACCAACGACATTGATTAAACATTTTCAGCAATGTATGACCCAAAGTATGCATGTATTTCCATTTTATGAATTGCAATGTCTCCTAAAATTTTATTTTTGTTGCAAAACCAGCAAAATCTAAAACAACTCAAGCTCAAAAAATATATAGTTGTTCAAGATTTTGTTTGGTCAAAATGAACTTTTTCGTTTGAGGAAAAAAGATGATGGAAAACATTCAAATAAATTTCTAATGTAAGATAGTTTTGGAACATTTATGAACCGTCGGTAATAGCAAAGAATCTATCATTTCCCACCTCTCAAATCCATAAACGACAATGTAAAAAGCACCTTCGATCCACGTTTTCACACAATAATTTTTATCTCTTCATGTAAGACAAGTAATAGATAACTGATGCATTCAACAGAGTAGGAGACAAAAGAAAAAAGAAAGAAGAAATAAAGAAATAAAGAGAGAAGGGACTATTTATACAATTAACTTTTTCTTAAAATATTGGAAACAGATTATGTATACAATAAAATGATAGTGAACAAATCAAACTTTCTAATTATATGAGATAAATTTAATCATTTAATATATCCAATACCCAAATTGCGATCCATTATTATTAGTGTAAGACACTCCATTAATGTGTTTGCTTCTCCTTTTCTCTTTTTAACATATTTTTATATTTCAAAGGAATTCAAAAGAAAAGGAGAGAGAGAGAAAATCAAGTATTAAAGTTATTTGAAAGAAAAAAAAGGTATAAAGTGAAATATTCTAAAGCCGTACTCGACAGTCTTACCAATTTTAACTAGTGGGTTACTGTTATTTTTTCCAATTGCCTTTACATGTCACTTATGACTCATCCCATTTTAACTGATCAAACTGGACACAGATTTATTTTAAAGGAGAATACTTGAATTCAAATAAGATTCACATATCATATCATTTCATATCTCATCTAGTCATTATTTGTAACTAAAATTTCTTTCAAATAAAATTTCTTCTATTTTAGAAATCTAAAAAGATTAAACAAATTTCTAAAAATAAAAATAATATAAATAACTGAATCTTGAAAATAAAATATACTATTAATTCATTTCCATTAATTAATTGGAATTCTCAAATGTTATAACTTGGGTAGATGATCTTAGGATTTTAAAATTTCCGTTTCTGTTTAGATGTGACGACTGATGAGACGAGTTTACCTCACCAACCCAGCAAAAAAATAAAAATAAAAGTAAAAATTTCCCAAGAATTCTGGTGGGTGTGTAAAAGACACAACTTAGGACACGTAGCAAACTGGAAAGAGAAATATGGCGGAAAGAAATAATGGGTGATTGAACAATTCAAAGTGTCTGCCCACATGCATCTTTGGTATACCGACACGCATTCCCTTCTTCCATTTGTTTCTGCAACACTCTTCGTTGCTTTTAAATCTAAAGTTTTCTATTAAAAAATGGAATTAGTTCTGTTCAATCATTGTATCAACTCCTTCACTGTAAATAAACAGTGTCCAAAACAGGAATGATGGAGAAACATGGAATTCTGTTCTGTAGAGATTCTAGTGATTCATTACGTTGAATCTCAGCTGTATTAGTGAGATTTTGCCTGATTGGTGAAGGTGAAGGGTTGAACATCATAGGATGTGTAGATATACGAAGCTAAGGAATTATCCATCGTGAGGTATGTTGCATCTTGAGTTTGGTATGTTTCTCTTGACTAGATAATAGTTTCCTCTTAAGAGTTGTTGGTTAAGTAATATTTGGTTACAAGTGGAGAGAATATCTTGAATTTATGATGAAATAGAGAAGCCTAAAAATAGGACTACATAGGCTTGGGTCCAATTGTTCAAAGTCGACAATGCCAAATTGATAGGAGAAGACTGTTATCCTAATAACACCAGATTGCAATAAGATCGTAACTCATAAATATTGCAAGGTCAAACTTGTTGTAATGCGAATTTATAAAAAGCTTTAGGCCTAATCTTGGGCAATTTTCTTTTCTGCATAAACTATTTAGTACTATCTTGCTTTATACAGTTTTCAAGTCATCTACCATAAAACCCCAATGTAGCCACTACTAAATGTACTATGAGACCAAGAGAAAAAAGATCTCAAACTAAATGTAATGGGAAAATCTTATTTTCTAAGAATAAAAAATCAAAAGGGAGTGGAAGAAAGAAAGATGGCAATATGAACAGAGATTCCTAGAGGCTGTTGGAAAAGCTTCCTTCACTGGCAGATAAGAAAAACAATAGTGGGAACGGAATATGTAACAACAATCTAAGGAGGCATATCTAGATGTAAACTAAGTTTCCACGCTCGGCCCATGTAACATGCTACACCAAATAAGAGGTCTGGAATAATTTCTAGAACAATTAGCTCACAAGGACAACCATTCATCAACTGAAATAGCTTATCCAAAAGAGAAACTTGATAGCTGGAGAGGGCATACCTAGACGGAAACTAAGTTTTCACCATTTATCAACGAAAATAGCTTCTCAAATTAGATAAAAGTGAAACCAGATAGCTGGAGAAGTAGGGATACGGGCACCCTAGTTCGGTTCCAACAGGAATTATGTAGCGTTGTTGTTGCAGCTTTTGATTCCACTTTTCGAGACTATCATGAATACAAAACTGACGAGCTTAAATTTTTGGTTTTGAGAAGAACCACAAGACAAAACAATCTCGACACTCCAATTCTCTGCATCTAGACAAAGCCTCCCTAAACCCACAGGATTTCTTGGCAAGAGCAGACAAAACTTCTTAAGCAAAGCCCATGAATATTGCCTTCACAAACAATGATCTCTTAACACGATGTATATACCTTTCTTACCGTAATCTTTTAACTCTCCAAAATTTAAAAAGTAAGGTTTCTAAAAGACTATCGACCATTAAAACTTAGTCTACTCAAAGAATTGCTCTGTCTGTTGGCTCACAGCAGGTAACACAGGGCATTTGGTTGGAATCAAATATTCCAAGATATTTGATGGTGCCTAAACATTGAACAACACAATGTCGTGACTCGGATAGAAAGAGTGAAACTAACAATTGAGGCCTGCTAGTTTTAAAGAGTATAGGATATGAAAGCAGATAATCCAAGCTTCAGCTAGTAACATGGGCATAAGTTACCAAAACAGAACTATTAATCGACCTCGACTTGGTTGCGTGAAAGCAACCCATGAACAGATAAACACTTGAAGCATTTCGTATTATGGTAAAATAAACTTCAAGAAGAATTGCATTTAGTAATTTGTAATTGTGAATAATTTGAATGGTCACCAAACAACTCCCCATCTACATCCCATAATTGAAGCTTTAAATTAGAATATCTGGTAGGCGACAACTTATTCAAACAGGATTTGAATTTTGACATCCACTGAGAATATATTAACCATCAGAGAAGAACATAACTCCGAATTTCTAACCCTAACCCTAACCCTACCAACGAAACAGGGGGGTGCTATTATCACAAACCAAATTATTTGGAAAGAATAAAAAGCGATCAATCTTCAGAGAGAGAGAGAGAGAAGAGAACCTGTAATAATCGCCACCGCCAAAGGAAGTAAACGGAGTAGGGATGAACGCTACGAGTACGGCCGTCTTTCACGATGGTTGAATTCTCCATGTCTCTCATCGCATTCAATGGAAGCTTCGACAGCCATGAATTTGTAAATAAAGAGATGCTTGAAGATTTTGTTATTCGTGATTTTGTTGTACAGAAAGAATCGCTGGAGATAAAATGTTTGGATCTTAGAAAGCTCTCACATAAGGAAGAACTCGCGGGAAAGGCAAATTGGGAATGGTTTTCTTCATTATTGCTCGAAAATTGGAGGGAACGGGACGACTGATTGTGAACTCTTTGTTCGTTGTTTATAGGAAAATATTAATATTTGTAAAATATTAATTTTAATGCCTAATTATAACCATTTTCCCCGCGAATTTTATGGAATTGCAGCTAATTATAACCATTTTTAATAGATCATTCCCATTTTTCAACATATTTCCTATTTGAAACATATGATCAAATTCAATAATATTTAAAAATAAATGTCTATCCAAAATGGGTAGACACTTTGTTAAGGAAGTTTTTTCAATTTAATCATTTCTTGTATAAGTTAAAAAATATGTTTTTATATAAATTTTTAGAAAATGGTATAATATTAAAAAGTCGAATAGTTATTTCCCACAAAGTTTTATATTTATAATATTATTTTAAACTCATCTATTAACAATTATACCTTAAATTAAAAGGAACGGCAGATGAAATTTAAAAAAAAAAAAAAAGAGAGAGAGAGAGAGAGAGATAGAACTCGTCATCCTATTCACTAGCCGAAGTTTGTTTTGCTTGGATTTCGTTGTTTTCGGTGCTCAAGCAGAATACACATGTTGTAATTACACAAGCCTAAAGAGAAATTCACGGATTTGCTAAGTTCATGTACAAAGAAAATTAAAGCAGAATCGATCCGTTCAATCATCATCTTCCTCGTCGGTGACGAATTTTCCAGTCCCAGGATTCAGAGCAGCAATGAAGAAGAACACAACGTTCAACAATACCAGAGGCTCGATCTCATTGATCGGCACTCCCGTCTCGATGTTTAACTGCGCCAACGCACCTTTTCCTGTAATAATTTCTCCGATTAGCGAAAACGCAAACCCTAGCTGCGCCAATCGCCCGACGAACAGCTCATTTGCCTTCGTGAATCCGAACAACGGACCTTCAAAAAAACAGAGTCGTCGTCAATTTCATGTAAGATTTAATTTAACTGAACAATGGCGTACGTGATTTTTACTGTACTGTAATTTACCTCCTTCCTTGAGACCTAGCGCCGATCTGAAGCTCTTCCCGGGAGGGATGACGGCGCGTTCCAATCCAGCCGTTTCTGGATCGTCGATAAATTTTCCACGGTCTCCTAGGGCTCCGATGGCTCCGAGCAGAGTGAACAAGATGAAGAATAGAAGAAGAGGCTCCGCCTCGTAAATCGGAACTCCAGTTTCCAAGTTCAGTTGCGCCAGAATTCCCTTACCGGTAATCCCCTCTCCTAACAAAGATGCCTGCAAATTTTACACCATCATACAGATCAAAATCCAATTAGATTTATAATAATGTTGCCTTACTTAGGTATTTGATAAACGTAGACGCATAAATTCGAAGGAACTCACAGCAAAGCCGATCATGGCAACACGGCCGACGAAGAGTTCATTCTGCTTAGTGAAACCAATGCCACCGGAAGTTCCGAAAATGCCGTCTTCAACCTTCGGCTTCGAAACCTAAAATCAAATCAAGAATCAAGCGAACTCTCAGATTCCATCAATTCCTCTCTGTAAGAAGAATCAAAATCAAAATTACCTTCTTCGGCGGCACTTTAGTTCTGGATTTAAAAGCCGCAAGAGTCGTAAATCCACGCGCCGGCAAGGTAACAGAATGCGAAGGCGAAGGATTGAAAAGGAGGCGAGTAACTTGGGCGTTAGGTCTAAGCGTTTGAGTGAAAATAGAAGCGAACTCTCTCTTATGGCCGGCGCACGCACCAGAAGTCAGGAGCATGGTTTGAGCCGCCATGGAAATGAACCGAAATGAAAATGCTCTAAGGTATTTGAGTGAGATTAATGCAGGGAAGCCTGTGATTTAAAAGCTTAAGCAAATGGCTGAGTAATTTGGATAGGATTTTAAGAAGAAAGGGTTCGAGAAATCAGAGGGATTTTGAGTGTATGGTGAAATGGGATGTGCTTGTGGATTTGGTGGGGAGAGTTTGACGATCGGCGCATAGAGTGACACGTCGTCCTTTAGTTTTTCGTGATGGTGGATCGGTGGTATGCTTTTTTGGAGGACCCTTGGTTTTAGTCCTAAACATTAACAAGTGTTCCAAAAATTGGGTTCTATTTTGAGTCTTCTGAGCTCTTATCACTCCATTATCTCTCGTTCATTTGCTTATAGTTTCTAAAAATGAAATGAAAACTATTGGTGATCGAGATACTCTATTCATTTTTCCTGTATTTAACATGGTATCAGAGCCATGCCCTAAACTTAGCCGTGCCAATTGGCAAATCCTTAAATGTCGAACAAATGACTCCAAAAGGAGTCAAGCCTCCTCGAAGGTACGAAGGCAGTAAAAAATGACTAAGACTCCAAAGGAGTCGAGCCTCGATTAAGGGGAGGCGTGCTTTGTTCGAGGGGAGGTGTTGGATGATGAAAGTCCCATGGGTTTATAAGTGAGGAATACTAACTCCATTGGTATGAGGCCTTTTGGGAAGCCCAAAGCAAAGCTATGAGAGCTTATGCTCAAAGTGGACAATATCATACCATTGTGGAGAGTCGTGTTCGTCTAACAATTATCACAAATACTTGTAGTTTCTAAAAATGAAAACTATAATAATAATTTTTATTTATTTTCTTTAAACATTTTTTAATTATTTTATCTTCAATAATATAGTTTCGATGTATACTTCCTCTAAAATTAGTTTTTGCTAAATTAAATCACTTGAGAGCCCGTTTAACCTATAACCTATACGCTGTTGGTTCTATGTAGTCATCAAATATCCATCCTCTCGTGTTCTTTTTTTCCTTATTTTTTAATATATTTGAAAATAAAAGGTTGAAAATATAACTTTGTACACAGTCTATTCACTTGAATCTTCATCTTGGACGTTTCTAGAAGATCCCAATCACGCAGATTCCGGAGATTCGTATAAAACAAAGGAATTATACCAAAAGGGAGCAGCTCAACGTGTGCTCTGTGGTTCGTCAAGCTGACAGGGATTGGGCCTGAGCCATGGTCAGGGCTTAGTCCATATATTTAATGGCCCTTTCGGAGCACAAAAGCCCAACAAAGCAGCACTCAATTCATTCTTTCGATTGCGGTCCTTGAATTTAAAGGAGGGTGTATTTTTCAAACTAAAACTCATTTAGTTATTTTTTAAATTCGGTAGATAAATCTAGAACTCTCGTTGCCACATTTTAATTTCACACTAAAATATTTTTTTTTTATTAAATTACAAATTTAGTCAATAAATTTTGAGTTTTTTTAAAAATATCTAATATATCATTAAATTTTAAAAACTGTTAAAATTTGTGCTTGATAAATTATTTATATCCACGTCAGATTTTATTTTTCATGCCTTAATTTAAAAATATAGAAATACTAAAAGAAATCCTCTGTCCATATTTTCCATCTTTCATCCACGTGAGCTCCTGCTTGCTTTTCTGTTGAGCGCTCAACTGTCGTTCCCGTCACTTTCCTTATTATTATTATTTTTTTTTTTAATTTCTTATTTATTTTAATTTTTAGTGATAAATATGATTAAATAATTGACAATGCGAGCTTAGTGACATTAATATATCCCTTTAAAAGATTGTATCCCCTAATTATGCAATTAATTCAATGAATCGGCTAAAGTTTTGATACTTCAGAATTTGTCTCCATTTTATTATTTAAAACCCGAATTACCACAATTTTATTTACCAATAATCAATCTTTTCTCTCAAAACTACAATTTTTTTTAGCCAATTATAATACAATTCTAATGTGTATATATATATATTGTTTTAAAAATTAAAATAATGCAATTATGATCTAAATTTGGTTGAGTGTGAGAAAAGAGCACGCGGGATTACAATTAATTATTAAGAACTTAATTTTATAAAAATAAAATAATATTGATGACAAATAAGTAATAATAGCCAATTATTTATGCTATACTGTAACTTCAATGCAGCAATAAATTCCAATTTCGCTTTAAAAAAGAAACAAAGAAATATGAGTTTCTGTTTTTTTTTTTTTTTTTTTTTTTATAAAATTTAAATTCAATTCTTAAAGTTTATTTTAGAATGTTAATTGGATTAAGCCGTCTAATTAATTGGCGTCGTTGACTTGGAAGGTTGACTGTGAGCTGACATTTCCCTCTCAACGGACGATAATACATGCTCCTCCAGCCCGTTCTTCAATAATGATTATTACATGTTTTCTGTTTTTTAATTAGTAAAATTCTCATAAAATATGACTTATAAAATATTCTTAAAACTAATTTTAATAATATTTTTTAATTATTAGTTCATTTATTTAAAAAATAAATATTTCATAGCATGCATCTATTTGGAGCGCACACAAAAGGAATCAATTATTCTTATTCTACCGAGTTGAAGTTAACCACGTGACGTTCGTTGGATGATGAAAGTTTCACATCGGATAATTTAGGGAATGATCATGGATTTATAAGTGAGGAATACTAACTCCATTGGAGTGAGACCTTTTGGAAAAGCCCAAAGCAAAGCTAAGAAAATAATATAATACCATGGTGTGTTTAGGGTTTTTTCGTCCCAACTATTTTGATAATGAAAAAATAATTAAAATAAATCAAATTTAATACCCAAATACTCGAACAAAAATGGCATCCAGATTCTCACTCAAGGGCGGGAATTCCGGCAGCTATATTTCAAAATATATAAACCAAAAAATATAAAAACAATTTTTTTTTTTTGTTGTTGGTTATAAAAAAAGAAAAAACAAAGCAGGTGAGTGCTGAATTTCGTTCTTTTGAGGCCCCATTCTTGAATTTCACACTTCCAATATGCCCCAATCACATGCTCGCTTTCTCTCGCACTTCATCCCTTGCCTTTCTTTTTGTTCAATATTTTGGAAGCTACCATTGTGAACAGAAATCTGAAGAACTAATTAAAATTAAACAACAAATGGTATTGGAACCCTTTATTCTCTGGCGTTCGCCGCTAATTTTTCTGCATATTTGCAGACATTCTACAGATTCTTGCAGCGATAGCTGTTTGTTTGCCTTCTTACACAATTCTTAAACCCAAACGCCTCCTCCCAGGGATTCGGTTCTTATTGTTCTTCAGTGCTGGCTCCTGTTCGAGCTCTCGATTTTGTACATTTTTTATGGTTTAAGGTAAAATTTCCATCTAGGTCGTCTTCATTTTGATGATTTCTATTCATTTCTTGTACGAATTCTACTGAAACCTGATTCCTCAGAAAAGAGGGGGAATCTTCTGTAGACTTGTTGATGGATCGCTTTTATTTCGAATGTTTGAAGGATTTTGCGTATTTCGTTTTCATTTTATCTGTTCTTCTCTGATGGCTTCTTCTTTTTCTAAACCATTGATGGCTTCCGAAGCTTTCACCTAATGTATTTGAGAATTGATGGGGTTTTTGCTTAGCTGAAACCCTTTTCTGTGATTTACTAGTTGTTGAGTGGGGTGATCTTAGGGTGGATTTGAAGCAAAGTTGAAAGAATGGATGCTACTTTGCTTGAAATTCCCATATTAGCACAGGCAATTACAGTCTCTTTAGGCAAATTTTGAAGCTGGATTCGTAATGGATTTCTAAAGAACTGTGTATTTATGTCTATAGATGGCGCTTTGACCAGTGGACTGATTTGGAAGTAAGGCGATAGGATGGATAGAAGAAAATGGCCATGGAAGAAGAAGTCATCTGATAAAAGTCCTGGACAAACCACCGAAAGTTCTGGATCAATGTCGACGTATTCCGAGAGGTTTTCCGACGAGCAGGTACGCAAATGAATCCTTAAAACATCTCCATTGTGGTGGCTGTTACATACACCCGAAAGGCGAAAACTAGTTGATAGTATCCAAATTTATGTGTGTTTTCAGGGATTTGCAAGAAACATTATGGTATTGTGTTTTGCTTGATTTGATTAACATCTTCTGTAAATTATATTGGAGAGATTCATCCTTTTGATGAAGTAAGATCTCCCAGGTGATTGTATGATTCGAACTCTTGGGGATGAAAAGAAAGGTGATATAGTTTTGTTTCTTCCTGAGGTGAAAAGGGTATGTAAGAACTTTTACAGGAGTGGAAACAAAAGCAGAATCAGAATGTTTGTTTGTTCTTAGATATTATCCTCTTGGCCCGTTACGTATTGCCATTAGTCTCATGGTTTTAAAGCAAGTCTACTAGGGAGAGGTTTCCACATCTTTATAAAGAATGCTTCGTTATCCTCTACAACCGATGTGGGAACTCACAATCCACCCCCTTGGGGGGCCATGTGTTCTTGCTGGCACATCGTCCGGTGTTTGGCTCTAATACCATTTGTATCAGCCTCATCCCTTGTAAGATCCCACATTAGTTTGAGAGGAGAACGAAGCATTCTTTATAATGGTGTGGAAACCTCTCCCTAGTAGACGCGCTTTAAAACCGTGAGGTTGACGGTGATAAGTAACGAGCCAAAGTGAACAATATCTACTAGCGGTGAGCTTAGGCTGTTATTGATGGAGCTGCTTGTAGAAGACAAAAGAGATCTTTAAGTTATTAACTTGTAGGCAGAGCATTTTCCTTGACAACTTCATTAGTTGGATTATCCTTAGATTAGTTGTCATGAAGACTTGATTGTCTCTGTGCTATGCATTTGGAGAATTGGCTGGACTCACCCATCATAATTGATAAACAGGACGGAGTCAAGTCGTCGCCTAATCACGAGATTCAGTCACCAGAAGTAACGTCAAAAGCAGTATGTGATGAAGACATTGATGATGATTCACCAAAACAAGAAGAGCTCAATAATAGTGTGGAAGGTCTATCTGATAGGCTATCAGCTGCTCTTTTAAATTTGAAGGCCAAAGAGGAATTAGTAAACCAGCATGCCAAAGTTGCTGAAGAAGCTATCGCAGGTATAGTTGGAAACTTCAAATTTGTTCATGTTTTACATCCTTAGACATGAATGAACTAAATGAATTCTGCTTATTCTAATGCGAATTTAGGATGGGAAAATGCGGAAAATGAAGTTGGACTACTAAAACAGCAGCTTGGGACTACGGTTCAGCAAAAGTCTGCATTGGAAGATCGAGTGAGCCACCTTGATGGGGCGCTCAAAGAATGTGTTAGGCAGCTCAGGCTGGCAAGGGAGGAGCAGGAGCAGAAGATTCACGACGCGGTGGAAGAAAAAACCCGAGATTGGGAGTCCACCAAGGTGAACCTTGAGAGGCAGCTCCTCGAGCTCGAGCGCAAAGCGGATGAGGCTAAATGTGAATCTCCTCAAAACGATCCTAGCCTTGACAAGATGCTCGAGTCATTGAAAAGGGAGAATGCAGCCCTCAGGTATGAGCTTCATGCTCAATATAGGGAGTTAGAAACCAGGACTATTGAGAGGGATTTGAGTACACAAACAGCTGAAACAGCCAGTAAGCAACATCTTGAGAGCATAAAGAAAATGGCGAAGCTTGAGGCCGAGTGTCGCCGATTAAAAGTAATGTCATACAAACCATCATTGGTTTATGATCACAAATCCATAGCTGCTTCCATGACTATTTCTATCGAGTCACTTACCGACACTCAATCGGATAACGGAGAGCAGCTTAATGGCATGGATATGGATATAAGAAGAACCAAACGAAACAAATGTGTAGCTAGTTGCACAGACTCATGGTCATCAAACTTACTTGTTAGCAGTAATCTTCCTTCGTCTCTTGAACTTGATCTCATGGATGATTTTCTTGAGATGGAAAGGCTTGCATCATTACCCGAAACTGCTATAAGAGAGAGTCATCAAGAACCCGAAGCTTCCACTCGTCGTACTGCTGAGGAAAATGCCATAAGAACTGAGCTTGAGATGTTGCAGCATGAGAGATCTGTAATGGAAGAGAAGCTGGGTGAGATGGAAGAAGCAAAGATTGAATTGGAAGCGAAGCTGAAACGGATAGAAATGGAGAAGGATGAAATGGAAGAGAGGCTAGAGATGATGGAAACGGAGAGAGCTGAAGTCGATGAAATGGTAGCGATGATGGAGAGCGAGATATCCGAATCGGGGCACAAGTTAGCGACGATGGAAGCAGAGAAAGCTGAAATGAGAGAGAAATTAATGAAGTTGGAGGCAGAGAAAGATGAACTGAGGACTGCTCTTTCTCAGAGTCAGAACTCTGTGGACATTTCACAATTTCAATTCAAGGAAACTGAAATGAAACTAGAGAAGTTGCAGAATGAGCTAACCTTTGCAAATGAATCGAAGTTAAGAATTGAGTCTCAACTTATCAGCATGGAAGCTGAATCTCTCACAATGAATGCAAAAGTTGGGATGTTGGAATCTGATATTCAAAAAGAGAGGGCTTCAGCATTGGCATTGACAGTCAAGTGTCAGGGACTAGAAGAAGAGCTTTCAAGATTGAAACATGATGAACAACTATCACAAACTGAAATCTCCAAACATGAGTTGAAGATAAAGCAGGTAAAAGTTTATATTAGGTGTTTCTCATGTTTAGTCCTAACGGTCCAAGCCCACCACTAGCAGATATTGTCCTCTTTGGGCTTTCTTTCAAGGCTTTTAAAACGCGTCTGCTAGGGAGAGGTTTCCACACCCTTATAACGAATGCTTTGTTCCCCTCTCCAACCGACGTGGGATCTCACAATCCACCCCCTTTGAGGCTTAGTGTCCTTATTGACACACCGCCTGATATCCTCTCTTTCGGGGCTCAGCGTCCTCACTGGTACACTGCTCGGTGTCCACCCACCGCTAGCAATATCAAATAGGTCCCTTGTAACGGTCCAAACCCACCGCTAGCAAATGTTGTCCTCTTTGGGCTTTCCCTTTCGAGGTTTCTCTCATAGTTTTAAAAACGCATCTGTTAGGAAGAGGAGAACGAAGCATTCTTTACAAGGGTATGGACACCTCTCCCTAACAGACTCATTTTTAGGGAGAGGTGCCCATACCCTTGTAAAGAATGTTTCGTTCCCATCTCCAACCGATGTGGGATCTCACAATCCACCCCCTTCGAGGCTCACCCCTTTCGAGACTCGGCGTCCTCACTGGCACTCGTTTCTCTCTCCAATCGATGTGAGACCCTTAACTCCACATCGGTTGGAGAGGAGAACAAAGGACTAGAGGGTCTCACATCAATTGGAGAGGGGAACGAAACATTCTTTATAAGGGTGTAAAAACCTCTCACTAGCATACGGATTTTAAAAACTTTGAGGGAAAGCCTATAAAGAAAAGCTCAAAGAGGACGATATCTGCTAGTGGTGAGCTTGAGTTGTTACATCCGTGGATGTATGTATTTGAAACGCATAATTTAACCTTTAATCTTTTGCAATGCATAAGTTGAGGAAGTTGAATGAATACTCATAGTGGGGTAACATTTGCAGGAGGATCTAGCCGTAGCTGCAGGGAAACTTGCAGAGTGTCAAAAGACAATTGCTTCTCTTGGGAATCAGCTTAAATCTCTAGCATCACTCGAAGATTTTCTGATCGATACGACGCAACTACGGGAGTTCACAGATGGCGAGGAGCATTGCAAGCATTCGAACGGGACACTTTCACCCAGAAGAGATTCAGACTATACTAAAGGAGTTGATGACAGTTCTGAACCATCATTGAATAAGAACGAAGACGACTCACCCTCATTTTCATCTTCTTCAACTTCATCGTCCGTGATTGTAAGTCATATCGTCAATTCTGAGAAAAACCGAAACGGTTTTGCTAAGTTTTTCTCTCGAACCAAGGGCGGGATAAAACTAGAAATTTAGTCAGGAATGCATATGGTTGGTGTCTGGTAAGAGTACAGAAAGTTGACTGTAAAGCAGCTTAGTTCTTCTGCATTTTGAATTTGCTGATTAAATGCTATTTAATCACAGAAGAATGTTTTCAATCTTCATATGGATAGGCGTGTGTAGATTTGTAAGCAGCTACAAAATGGCAAGAGTAATTTTGTTTTTATTATTATTATTATTATTATTATTATTATTTTTCCTTTGTAGGAAGTGTTTTGTCATTGTTTTTTAGACCATATGTGAAGTAGACACGTAACCAAATGTTATCAAAGGCAAGGACGGTCCGCACTAATACGGACACTCACTGAGCCACCAATTAGGTAAGAAACAAACTAATTGAAATTTTAAAACTATTCCTACTATCAAAATTGAAAAAAGTATTTAAATTTTTTTATATCCACAAGAAATTTGTTTTTTATTAGTTTCAAAAGGAGATATTAACAAATGATTTAAATTGATTTACTCACATCTTATTAGGATTAAAAAACAAACATATATCAATATATATTTTTAATACGCCCAACTAAATTATTATTTTTTTCTTTTTTCTTAAATCAAATGAATAACATTTATATTTTATTTATTTATTTACATAATAATATTTGATAAAATAATAATTTTATTTAGGCAGGTTTTTAGTTGGTTTTAAGAAATCCAAGTAAAAAAAATTATAAATCACTTAAAATTAATTAATTATGAAAGTTTAGCATTTAATTCTGTTTAGACTTAAGAGTTTTAAATGTTCTATGGGTCGTTTAACTTATTGAATTTAGGAATTAAATTTTATTGGGATGTTGCATTTTTGCAACCAATACCAACTTTTCTATCTATAAGTTACAATAATTAGATTTCCATTAATTTTCTGACTCCTAAACTTATCACATTAGATTTGTTTATCTAATAGTATATTTTTAAATTCTCATTAAGAGTAGGGAATATTAAATAGATATTAATTATGGCACAGTAATAAAACTTGGTAGAAAAAGAAAATAAAAATAAAATTTTACTTCAAATTACCATTTTTGGGTCAGAATTAGTGGATGAGTTAGCCAAAATTAACGAAAGGGTAAAATTGAAAATATTTCCACTTTTCTACAATAAAAATAGTTTTTTTTTTTTTTTTTTTTTTTTTTTTAAAAA